GTGGAAGCATACTGATTTTGAAAGGGAAATCACAGAAGTATAATTCAGATTAAGGTGCAAGTGTATGGCCAAAGGTGAAGACCTAAAAACCTAGATAATCGTGAAACCATTTAACAGCAGTTTTCATCTGGGGCTTAGGCTGCCAGGTTCAGAAATCTTTGCGTGGTAATCAGATATAGCAGAAATATAAAAGCCAAATGACATCTAAGAAAGCAGTAAACGTAACTTTGGACTTTTGCAATACTTTAGTAGAACATCAAAATACGTGCAATAGCCCTGCTCAGGCAAGGTAGGGCTTGGAAAGTCAGTTGGGAACTATCTGAATTCACATATCAACTTTACTACAAAGACACCTAAGGGTTTAGCAGTTTTTAAATCTACTGCATCTCTGACCTCTGCTGCAAGAAACTGTTCATGAACAATCATGAGCTCTTCTCTCATGACATATTCAAAGACATTTGACTTTGCATGAGTTGCTGGATAATAGGAATATTTTTCTATGGGCATGCTCACACAAAATACACATCTAACCTTTTATCATCAGAATCTTATTCTTCACAATTATTCTATAAAAGTTATTAAAATCCCCCCACAAAAGCAACAAAACAAAAAAAAATTAAAGTATGTACATATGAAGTGCAAGAAAAAAATTGTTCTAAATTTATGAACTGCTCTAAATTTATTCATATCTTCTAACTCCCAATTACATCTTTTAGTGGTAGCTTCCTACCTAATTTGCAACATTCCCCTAGTAATTATGTAATTGATATTTCAGTAAGGCTATCAATATTTAACTTGTATCAATGAGAAGATTGATTGAAAACAGATGTCATAGTTATAGCCCTAAATAAATCCCAAAATATTTTTCTCTGAACCAGCTTTACACAACACTAGATAATGCCCAGTATTCTAGTGTGAGCTATTCAGTTCCTCTGTTGCTACAGCACTGTGGTGTTCCCAGGAACACGTGCACAGCAATACACAAACAGATGAGAACCAGGATTTAAATGAAATAGTAACAAACAGGATTTTTAAACTTACTAAATGAAATAAATAAGAAAGGAACTCATTATATCCTTTGTTTCCTTATCAATCCTCATATTTTTGTTAATATGCCTTTATATTTATTATTTTCATTCTGAAGTATTTTTAGATTGGCATGTTTCTACCTCTTGACTTTATTACCTCTTTCAATTGACCTGCAATATTAATTAAAGTTAATTTCATATTAACAAATAGAGTAGAAATTAAAGGTAAGGCTTAATAGGCTAAAAAGTACATGCAGATTCATTAGCAAGCTTCAGATTTCTGAGACCTACATGTTATACAGTATCATATAATTTTAAAGACATTTAAGAAGGGAAATAATGTAGATTCAAATTCAGAATACAAATATGAAGCATGAAATGTCTGTGAATGGCCTGAACAATGTCAACAAGTACTAGCTTTTGATCAGAAAAAAGCCTTCACATTTTGCATAGAGTTAAGCACAAGCCTAAAGACTTTACTGTAAAAACTGAATATAGTATAGAGATTTTTCAGATATTTGTCCAAGATGAGAAAGCTAGTGCAGAAAGTTTCTATCCAAAATTATCCTGGGAGGCTAAGCTTACTGACAAGATCAACCACTCTAAAGGCACAGGTAGAGAAGCTCAGTGTTCTACAGATCTACTCCAGCCTGAATGCTCTTGCTGAATTGAGTTCTTAGGAGGGAAAAAAACAATCTTTGGTGCCTATTTTCACATTTCTGCCAAAATGACTTAAAACTATACACAAATATGCTTTGGGAAAAAATACATCAAAGCACAAACATATCTCTGTGTGTGTACTGAAGTCTGGGTTCTTCCTCCATTTTAAAACGGATCCTACTTACAATGAGTATTTAAATAGTCTGCTTGAATTTCTAAGAAAAATAATTTTCTTAAAATATGAGTCCACTCTTCAATAATGCCTTCATTTGGAAACCAAAATATTAACAAGAATAAGCAATGTAGGATGGTATAATGGTACTGACAGCATGGAAGCATAACAAATACGATATTTTCATATTTAATACTCCTTTAATTTCTGCTGCAGCTTATTGCTCCGTTAAAATCCAGTGTAAATAAGGTTCAACCTTATAAACTCTTTTTAAAAGTACATGCTGGTAATTTCGTAAATGTCCAGTAAAACTGTATGCATTCTTAAAGATCCATTATATAAATTATTGTTTTAACAGTATTTTTGCTATCACAGCTCACTGAAAATATATTTTTTCATATACAGAGGTCAATTCAAACTTACAGAGGTCACTTTGAAATTTTCTGATAAAAGATCTTATTCTATATTGGAACAGTGTGCTGCTATTAATTTTCAGATGATTGAAAGCAAATTGGAAAATCTTTATAAGGCCTTTCCCTAAAGTGGAGCCAAAAGTGCTTTGGCCAATTTAATTAACTACTGTGTACATTGGTTCTATTGCTTCAACTTCAGCTGAACCCTTTAAAAGCCCTTTGCCAGGTGGCTAATGGCAAAAAAAAAAAAAAAAAAAAAAAAAAAAAAAAAAAAAAGAAGTCAGATACAACATATCAAAAGCCCCTCACAAAAATTAAAAAACCCTAGCTGATACCCATGCTTAATCCCCAGGTTGACATTCAACACCAGCATTTTATCTGTCCTTTCCCTTTTCTCACTGACAGAAGACAACCTCCCAGCCCTCAAGTCAGGCAGACACTCTTCTTGGAGCTTCTCAATGTTCCTTGGGGAAGGATGAGGAGACCTCACAAATAAAATGTAAATGAAAACTATTACTGTAATTTTACCTTCCCATTAATACAAGGAGTGATTTTGACAAAACATCTTGCATGAATATACGAAAATAACCAATATTACACTATGTTACTGCAGATTGACCAACAATTTCCACTGGTGAGCTTCACCTTTAACCATTTAAAATTAGCATCAGATAATCATCATTTCACTTAACTTCATCATCTTAATCAAGCATGTATATATCAAAGCAGAACAGGGCAGTCTATTAATAAAACTATAGAAGTGCTGATGAGTAACATCATCTCCCCACATTTTGGACTCAAAGCACTGTATAGAATTTTGTTTTTTGAAAACGTGTGCTTTCTGTATTTCATTTTGTCCTGTTGTTTCTCAAAAGAAATAGAAACAGTGTTACTTCTCTCTACCTTCTGTCAAAGTGTGATTACTTATAATTCCAGTATTTTTTTCCAGTGTATTCTGAACTTCAGCAAAAGCTCTCCTTCCAGCAGAAATCACCCACTGCTTGAAAACACCTCCACTCCACAGTCCCTCTACACATATAAAGTTCTTACTCATTTTATTTCTGTTTGTATCACCATAAATATGGTGCTCATACTCTGTTCCTTTTTCATAATTACATCTCTCATGCAGTCATTACCATATTCTGTACAAGTACTGTTCAGGAAAGCTATGCTTGTTTATCATTTTGCTGGTTTCCTAAATCACCTTGTAAATGTCCTATATATGTCTGGGTGCGTTTGCATGTAAATATATACTGTAATGGAAAGATATCTTGTGCATGTGAAAGAGAGAAAAAATTCCTGAGAGATCTGTTCTTCCAGTTCTATGCCAATGTTTTTTCCAGGCAGAAGTCCCTGGAAATAACCACATTTCCATCACTGGAAATATCCTAAATTTGTTTCAAGAAATGTAACATTATTAGGAGACTGACTTCAAAAATAGATGGCAGACAATAAGCTTAACAAAAAAAAAATTACATTTTAATAGAAAGTATACACATATCATTAAGGTTCAGAATCAAACATCCATGGCATGATGCGCTGTTAAATTAATTCTTGGTTAGGGTTTTTCAGATAAATCCAGCCTGCTGCCTTCTCTTTCCAAGCAGTCCTCTTCAACCCCCCTGCCAGCTCAGCTTTTAGGTGCTCATATACCTTAACATCACAGTCCTTCCTGATATCTCCAGTTTGATACCTTCTTCCCACATGCAACCTTTACCAGCTAAATAGATATGCCCAGCCACAAGGCATGGCTTGATTTATTCATGCTTTAGCTGCTAAATGCACATGCCTGCTGCAGCTGGCAGCTTTGGAGCAGTGGAGGAGCACAGGGTATGTGGGAAAGGGAAATATCTCTTCCAGGGTAGTGTGAGGCACATGCATGTGAACAACAGCAGTCAAAGCCCAGGCTCCAGCTCCAGCAGCAACCAGTACTGCAGCAAATTCCACTCCCCAGCCTGCTGCACCCCCAGCTATCCAGTCTATTTTCAATATGTTTTAGATGGCAGTGTAATTTACTGGCCCATCACTGCTTTGAAGGCATATTTTACTTCATATGGGGTTTGTGGCAGTTTCTCATTATCACTTTTCACTTGTGTCTTTCTAAATTAGCATCCTCTGTCATCCTTTTTCTCCACTTTAGAAACACATAACAAACTATACAGCCTAAATTTGGGTTTTTACTCAAAAGATCAACAGGCAAAAATGAAGAGAGGGGAAAAAATTTGGCAATTCACATCATGAAACAGTTCAGAAGAAACAAAAGGTCACAGCCCACCTACTCAACAGTGCATCACGCACCCTTTGTACTTGCTGTCTTTAGAGGGCTTGGCAGCTTTGAGGAGCACCTCAAAAAGAAAAATACGACTTTCACATGAATTGCTGAAGAGGGCCTTATTCCTTCCACGTGTACCACTCAGAGTTTTACCTGGTTGTCTGCAGGATTAAGTGCTGGCTCTTGGGATCCCAGTGTTCCTGGGCAGGTGCTGCAGCACAATGAGTTGGGATGGGTATCTTTTCAAACTGCGACAGCTGATTATGCTGATGCTTCTGACAAGCACTGGGGCTCCTGGGCTGACACCCAGGGAAGCATGGGGAAGCAGGTAAGACATTGGACTTCTTTTTAAACCAGTGCTCTTTTAGAGATCCCTGCCCATATCTCAGGAACTGAGTCCTATAGACACAATGCTCTGCTTCTATTTTGAAAAGTAAAGTAAAATTAGAACTAACATTGTGCTCTGGCAGCTCAGATATTCTCACCAGGTAATGCTTTCTCCTGATGCATTTCAAATTCTGATCCTCTTGCTGAGTTGAAAACCTAGGATTTAATGTAAAGAATTAATTGTTGTGCTTTTGAGATACAATAAATTGTCCCCCTGTCTCCTCAGAAGAAACCTCTCTTGTGCAGTAACAATTGTAACCATAAAAATCTGTATCAAAAGAAAAATGTCTTTATTCACTATTTTCTCAAATTGCTTTCAAGTACATATTTTCTTATTAGAATTTTTTCTGGAAGAAAATATACTATTATATGTAGCTACTTGGATCTTTTCCTAAATGCCTATTTCTCCACAAAAAAAATACCTTTTATAGTTTACATGCAGTAGCTTCATAATAGACATTTTCTAAACATTTAGAGACTTCAAAGGATCACTATTTTTATTCCTACTTTGATATTAATTTTGTGTTTTTTCCTAATACTTATTATTGTGTGAAATGTGAGTACTGCAAAAAGAGAACTGCTGTTTATTCTTCCAAAGTGGCACAAGCTGTTTTCCTCATTCTTACTGTGAACTGCTTTGAACATCATTTCCATTGAGTATGCCAACTTTTCATATTTTGTGAGCCAAGGCCTCCTAATTTCATAGCCAGCTTGCATCACCATACAAGTTCAATTTCTATTTTATACCTTAAGGCTTACATTGATGAAATCTGACCCAGTTACCTTAGGGCTAAAAAGACTGAAGTTTTGATCAGTCATCACTGTCAGCTTTAGCACACATTTTCTTTAATCCTTCTTGGTTTGCTGGAGCCATTAGGACTGTTTTTGCTGGGCTTTGGACTGGAAACAATCCTTAATTTAATCATAAACATTTGCTCACGTCAACCAAATTTTTGGGTCTGTAAAGTTTTATTAAACATGTTGTATGCTCAGCCATGCTTAGAGACTTAGGTGACTGACATTCACACAGAAATTATTCATGACAGCCAATTTTCTGTCAACTTCCTCATAATATATACCTTTGAATATATGAAATGCAAGTTATTTCTTTCAAAGGGAAATAAGCCAAATGACAATACTGCAGGAAATAACAAGATGTGGAACTACACGTAGTGGAAAATAGAGAAATCATCTCTAATTCCCAATTTATCCACCTCCTCCACTGCATTCCCCATGCTCTCAAACACATGACTGTATACACAAGGAGAAATCTAATGTGATCAGTCTTCGTTTTTAATGAAGCAAAAGAAAACCAGAATATACTTGAAGTTTACTCTGCGCTAGCACCATTTTTAACAGAGCTGTTTCATCCTGACCTAATATATTGTAAACCAACACTTTCACTAGCTTTTGATAAACAATTAAGTGGTTTAGTAATGCAAAGTAAAATATTTTGAGGATCTGAGTGAGATCAACAAACTAATTCCTGCAATGAGGATTTTATTTGGCTTAAAATAGAGATCAGTTCACACCACAGAGATCTAATTTCATCAAACTTAAATTCCGTATTCAGCAGGTTGAGAGATTCAATTACTTATTAATCAAGAACCCTGACACAGGGCTAATTAATTTTTGATATTTCTTAACTTATTGAGTTTTCCACTGTGTTTACAAGGACTACACTCTTAGTCACTTCAAAACAGGGTTCCCTTAAAGAAGCAATGCCCCATTATTATCTTACCAGCTACTGTACATATTTTTTTTCCAGTCAGAGTTAGCCTTTATTAAGTGAGTCCACACTGCACAAGGTTGGCAATATATTTGTCTAACAGCCACTGAAGCCAAGTACATTTCTCATGTTTGCAGAGCACATACCATAGCTTTAGTTTTGCCACAGTAGAAAGGAGTGTTGAAGAAAGTCTTAAAAACAAAAAAACAAACACAAGTATAAAATGGATCTGTTTCTCCAATGACCCATGAAATTGGCATAGAAGAGAAACAAGTTTTTCTAAAAGAGAGATACTCAGGATTCTATAGTAGCCTTGGATATGATTTCTGGTTCAGGAATTGCCGTCTTCCTTCCAGTGATTTCTACCATCTCCCACTTTATAAATCACAATTTCTCCAAAGCTACTCCTCAGCAATATTTGCCTTATAGGTAGTTTACTCAAGATAGCTGTAGAAAGTAAATTCACATATGATTGTCTTTTCTTCACCTGTCATCCCTTATTTCTGTCCTTTTTGATATCTAATCTCTTCCTGATTTCCTCCTCCATAACAGGCCATTACCTGCAGGGTACAGCATGTCATACCACAATAACTGCCTGGCTTTTTTTGCACACTTAACTCTTTCTATTGCTCCAAGATTGACTCAACAACCAAGAAGAACATTCAACAAATATTCTTCTGTATTATACACAGAAGAATAACACATGCTGGAACCCACACCAGCTCTGCATGTTGAAGTCTTTAATGGTACTCGGATATAAGAATTTATCTTGACGTTGAGGTAAAGATCAAGACAGCCTTACCCACGCATGCATAAGAATAAACACATAAATTTAGGACAATAATATTTAAGTGCCTATACATATGCAGATGGAAAAGTCACGTGGGTGTAGATCAAGTGGTCCTGAGCTTGCACAGCATTAGCCTAAACACTGAAGATAAAAATGACTTTTCTGTACCATGCTGGCCGCTTTCACCAATAAAAGCCCCTCTGCCTTGAAGCAATGCTGGAATGAATCACAGTGTCACATTAGTCCTGTAACTAATGCCCTATTTTCCAAGGCAAAGGTTCATCAGGGAAAGTGAATATAACTGCATGGATCAGGGAAGAGGAGAGAGAGAAGAGAAGGCAAGGTCTGGAAAAATAGAAGGGAGGATGACTGTGTGAGAAATGCAAGAGGAAGGGAGAAAAGGTTTCACAGAAAAGCAAAGGTACAAATGCTAGGAGGTGAACTATTGTGGAAGACAACCGACAAGGAAAAAAAGATGGAAAAATGAAAGTCCAGGAAGGAAGTGAAACTAGTGCTAAATGAAGAGAAGGCTACACATATTTCAAAAATCCCTTATTATTTCTTTTCCTAAAAATAATTTGGGTTCAAAACTGCATACTTTCTCCCTGAGGTGTTACATCTCTGAACATAATGACAAAAATTCAATAAAACAATACTCTCTTGGAGTATGGATTGCATAAAGCCACAGGTTAATGAGCATCCTTCTAGCTGATGAGCCCTGCATATAAATGAGGAACATGGATCTCAAAAGCATATAATTCTGGTCCAGCTAAATACTGAGTGTGCTACCAGCACATTGTAAGATACTATAATGGACAAAAAAAAAATTTCCTTCTCTAAGAACATTATTCTAAATAAGAAATACTATTTCACTAATAAAATAGCAAAGATTGAGGCTACAGAATTAATCCTCTTTAAGAAAACAATATTAGCTAGCTGGATTGCTGTGGGTTGAAGCTCCATCCTTACACAGGCATACAATTTTCATTTTCAGAGCAGTTGCTAGGATCCTCTTCTGTTTCCTAGCAACATATTTTTAACCTACTTTCCTAGTGCATCACTTACCATCAACAAAAAGTCTTTGTAGAAGCAAATCTTTAGCTCTACTTTCAATACAAGCATATGCAAGTAAAAATAAATTGAATATCTACCTGGAGGAGTTATTGAAAATTCACATTTTTCCAGAGATTAATTGCAATGAATGAAAAAATTATAATGAAGTAACCTTGGAAAATTGCAGATTTTCGATTTCTAGTGTCCTTGTAATTCTGAACTCACTATTATTTCTTAGGGGAAAAAAATGATCCTAATGGAAAAACCTATTGTTTCTGGGGGAAGTTTACTGGAGAATTTGAGAGAACAACCTAATGGAGGCATAGCTGTCTAAAACAGAGAGTACTCCCTTTTTGGCTGCATTGGGATCCTTGGAGTGCAATATACTGGATATTAAAGAATCTAACACTAGGGCATGTTTTGAAGTCTTATTTAGAAGCAACAACTGAATGAAGATATTTTTTATAAAATTAACAGAAATGACATGTGCAAAGGGAACAAGGTATATTCCCTATTTCCAGTGCCATCTCATAACCATTGTTTAGATATTCTTGCAAAATTAAAATCCTCTGGGGCTTTTTTCAAAAGCACAGTGGTTTTGCCCTGGAGCTAATTAAGCAAAAATTACAAAACACTGTAAGTACAACATTATTTGCATGTTCCTGCTATTTCACTTTCACTTCTCATCAAACACACTAAATGATCCAATAACATAACCAAATCATATCCTGCAGCACAATAGGAGCATCACAGAGTTATTTTGATATCAGTCTGCAGTGGGAAAACCACAGTATCTTCCTTCTGAGGGTCTGTAAGCAAACCTTGCATGCTCCATGTAATTTGGAGCAATCAGTCTATTCAGTCTATTTCCAGCAGGCATTCTCATAACCTGTCAGCAAGACACTTCACATTCCAAATAACTAAGAAGGCTTAATCAATATGGGGTTCAAAAGGAACACCAGATCACTTGAAACATCTACCAGTACATATCTTTTCAAGCTAATATTCAGCTACCAAGGAAGGCACAGAGAAGGCCAAATGAGTGATACAGAAAAGCAATGCTGACATATCTAAATTCTAAAGCATTTTTCCGACTTCTAAGCAAGCAAACAACTCAAATCCATGTGTAAATTAAAAAATATGCATTATCGCAGCCCTATTCTTAGTTGATCTGTGCTCACTACAAAAATTACTATTGATTTATTAGTAAAAATATAAAGTTCTGTTAAAGTACAAAGATATCCCCCAAAATTGATGTGTTCTATGCCACTGGTATTTTTCATTCCTCTTATTTAAACAATAAAAACTGAAATATTGTCACATGAAACATGATATCCTATACAGAGAGAAGTGTCCAGTTCATCAGCAACATAAAAACTGGTTTTTTACATAAAGTATTGATTTGAAATTTTTGTAATTTCTAACACTTCTCTGATAAATGATTAGCTCTGATATTTATAGAGAACTTCCTGATTCATATAAAATTTGTTTCAATTGGAAAAACGTTCTTTGTATAATTACACAGATAATATATTACTTTAGTAACACTTCTAAAGACATCCATAAGTTTAACATAATGATGGT